TTGGCAGTAGTCCACGTTTTCCGCTGAGTAATAAAAAAGAGGTGGATCTTTGCAGCTCCCACCTAGGACCCAACGCGCAGTTTTTAGCGCGCGCATATGGACAATTCTATCGCTACATACCCTGTCTGGAGCATGTGGATGGGTTAAACGGTGGTTTCACCTTTGATTCCCCCGATTCCCTCCTCAGTAACGACCTTTGGATTCTTTCAATTTTTTCCAAGATGAACTGTAGTCGAATGTGGAAAGAGGGTGGGGAGGGAAAAAGAGGATGAGGCTTTTGAAACGGAGGATTCCAAAATTGGAAATATTTTTCCGCGGCTCGGAAAAACTTCTCTCCCTCTCGACAACTTGGAGCCATACAACCCCGCTCCCCGGTAACCAGTTACCACCCCTGGTAACACCGAAAAAGCTGCGATAAAATGAAGTCTCGTCAGCCCCACGACGTAACACTCCTCGTCACTGTACGACTTGGATGGGACATCTTTTTTAGTTTCTTTTGTAGTTCCTGCCACCCACCTTGGCGAGTGCAGTAAAAATTTGTTAAGTGTAAATGAAGCACGGGCGATTGCACAGGAACTCACAGGTATTTCGCAGGAGGTATCGGCAGTGATCGATGGGAACCAGCAGAACGCCCCTCTGAGCCAAACTGCTGCCAATTCTCGACTCTCGATGCAATGGAAATAAACAGCAACAAGCCACTTTGAAAAGATGGCTTCATACGGAGAGATCCGCTTGTAAGCTCATACTATGGGCTTCTACTTAGTGAACACTTTAATACCGCACAATCGATTGAAAGTATTTCACCTAAGCTGCACAATTACATTAAAGCTTCAAAAATAAGCCCAGAAAGAATGCTTCACAGCTATAAATTGCAGCATCGATGGCACGGAATTTGGTCGATATGCTTATGTGCAATGATATGAAAATGATTAAAGTGCATACATGAAGATTTGAAGAAGTGATTACTAAGAGTAATAAAAATAAATTGTTACTTATAACTATTTCATAGAAAAATTGTGGGCGAGCGCACCTCCGTCTCACACCTTAGCTAAAATAATATTTACACTCTGCTGGTAGTCACGTCCTGAGCACGCACGCTTGCAAAGTAGCGCGCGGTCACGACAGGACAATCAATACGGCGCGTCGTGACCGCGCGCAGCTGTATGTGCCAGATTGGATTCTACCATATTTGGGCAGTACTACACGTGAAGAGATTGCCAGGCGCTCGAACGGAGAGGTATGCTTATATGAAACCACGTAAACGTCAATACCTGCTGAGTGACTACTGGGAAGTGACGCGTTCATAGTTCGCGTTTGGAGCAATTCAGTCGCGCTAATCCTAACTGTGAACGCGCAGCTGCAACAAACGTGCTCCACGGCTAACGTTTGGACCTCTGGAATTGCTAATTCGATTACATAAAGAATAGAAATGTGTTCGATTGTTAGCAGTGGTCCAACAACTTGCGGTGCAGAGCGGTTAGTCGTAGTGGCGCGATTCTCAAACCGCCCGGCTGAATCGCTCTAGTCGTGAAGTATAAACGCAGCCGAATTTCATCGAAAGCGGCGCGGTCGCGTGGCGATCGTCACAAGTAATGAGATGAGGCAGCCATATGGTTCCAGCGTTCGGGGAAAGCTGATTCAATAGCCTGTGGTTATTGACCCTACGGTTTCACTCAGCATTAGGTTACCTTTCAGAAGGCATAGCCACACTCCTAGCTCAGCAGTAGCACAGTACTACTGGCTACCGTAATCAGCATTTGACGTCTTATCTAGAAATATAACTAGAAAAGAATTATTACGTATATATCTAGGAAGTAACTGGCTTTGATGTTTGTCAATATTGGTCTGTAGCCGCTAGAGTTGTGGTCACGATCGATATGTCATCATATTGATTTGTTACAATTATCGATTCGCAGTTACGGTTGACAGGTAGTGACACCATCAATAGGCGTGTGTAAGAGGCGCAAAATGTGATGTGCTCTGATGAAGCAATGGCTGTTGTGGTTGGACTGTGTCAGCGCTCCGGAGCGGTGTCCTCGGGACCTGAAATCGATCAGAATCGATTTTTCGGCCGAGTTTCAGGGGTTTGGTAAGACAGAAACGCGCGCGGTCGCGTCACGCCTCCTGAGCTGGCCTTTTTGTGTCCTACCGAACGTTAGTTCGTATTGTTATAAGACTTTGTTTGTAACAACGGATAACAACTTGTGCAAGCAGCAGTTGAAAGCAGTTGCACTGGATGCGCGCCACTTAATTTCAGTGCCGTGACGCGACCGCACGCGTCTGTTAGTGTCTGCTACGTCACGTCTTCCTAGAAACCTATAAGCGGATGGCAATCTCTAACATTTCCTCAAGAATGTGATACAGTTCTTTGCTCATTTCTTCTTGATGGAAACAAAATAGAAACCACCGTAATTTGGCTTACGGTAGCAAGAAATATTCACCTCAGTGGTGCGTATGAGATGTGGAGGTAGACTTATATGATGAACGAGACAGCATTCAATCATTGCAGCGCCTTAACACTACTTGAATCATCAGGAGAGAAAGAAAAGAATGCAATAAGACCCTGAATCACAAAATTTTGTATACAAATGGGCGTGCATCGGTCTTATGCGATCGATATCACCTGGCTCACGATTCTGGCCAATTTGTTGGTATTGTGCGTAGCTAGCAAGTGATCCTTCAAGAGCGACTTGCACACCTTACTTCTGCACATGATCCGCGGCAGCCTTGCTATGCAGGTCCAGGAGGTTATTATCTGAAAAAAGCTTGTCCCAGCGATCTACGGACAACTCGGACTCAATCTCCTAATCACGTCAATTTTCTGCTGCTGTCTGGGCTCTCTCGTCCATATGGCCTATTGCCTCTACGACTATTCCAGCTTCCACCCTTCAGCTGGCGATAAGTGGTACCAATTCGCCGCATCATGTGAAAGCCCACAAAGTGGTTCGTCACATGTTCCGTTCGCTTTTGCAACCGTTGCCTTCGATCTGGCTACAAGCGTCAGAACCACGCGGAAAGTTTGAGGTAAAACCAGAGATGAACAGATCCAGATCCATTCTTTTCTCTTTCTCTCTCTTCTCATCCCTCTTCGAGGCCACCCACTACCGCCCCTGAACCTGCATTTTATTCTACTAATCTATCTCTAACATTCAGTAGAAGTGTCCCCAGAATTTTATCGAATGGCAAGAATCTAATGACACATTGGATGATAACCGGTTGGGCGGAGAAAGGGGCGGAGACACCCAATCGTGGCGCTTTATTTCAATAGCCCCTCCTCTTCACCGTAAAGGACCGGGGAGAAAAACACAAGCGCTCGGGGTCGTAAGCTATTCCTTCGTTCACCCCGTAATCGGCAGCCAATACGCTGTACGTGTGGGCGGGGTCCATGACACCATTGGTCATTTCTCATTGGTGGTTTTGCGATTAGTAGTTACGGCACCGGAGAGACAATAGCTGTTTTCGGGACCATTTCCTCCAGTGAATGTAACTAGAGAATTGTAATACGCCGCGCTGGGCGTGGATGCGACGTCGCGCACGAGAAAGGCGAGTTCGCGCCCGCCTGAATGTTGAAGGGACAGAAATGGTTCATCATACAGCACTGAATCTAGCCTCTGCTCGAATTCTCGAGAGTTTCACAATAGCCCATCGCACCGCTGCGCCATGCGCCACGCACGACAGCGTAGCAAATTACGGTTCTCCCGCTCCTTATCACCCATTGCCAGTAGATCTTTTTTCACAAGAGTTGAACCCAAAGATTACCTGTGTTGCCGGAGAAGAACTGCATCGCTTGCAGAGCACAGTAGGACTGTGGCTCCCAGTCGACGACGGTCTTGAAACCTGGCGCTTTCTCAGCCACTCGTCGGAAGAAGGCGACGAACGGAGATGGTAAGCTGGGCAACGGTATGCGTGAACCACATTCGAACACCACTTCTGCCTCAGACATACTGAAATAGGCTTTGTCAATATTAACGAAACACTATACATGATTCCGATGATTTAGGTTTGTACGACAAAGACCTAACGACATATTCCGCAAAGATCAGATGAGCGAAGAAATGGGCGGAGACTACACTGCGCTTTCCTTATTAGAGTGCTCCTCTTTCTCATACTATGAGGAGCAGGGACGCACAGTTGGGAAGGCGTAGTGAAAGTGAATCTTCTCCCATTTCGTATTTCACCCACTTTTCGCTGAATGCATCTTTACGTTTTTGAAGTCAGACTAACGCTACCATGTGGTAGCTGGAGTACATACCGATAACAATGCCTAACAGCCATTATAGCGAACACAGTTCGTGAAAGCAGCTTTGGAATGTCAGTTTCAGCAAGTTCGTCGATGTGTGGCATACTGGAGACGAATAGCTGGATGGCGTGATATTCCTTTTCAAGAAGGTTCACCACGTGTTCGGACGTCATAGTGGCCTGAAAATGGAACTGTTCATCGACTAGGTTCGGGCAATCGATTGCTGACTGCTGGGGTGGCTGAAGGCACACTTCGAGCTGAACGTGTGGGCGAAATTCGACAGACCACAGTGCTTTGCTCATTGCTGCGCCCATACTCCAAGTAGGCGAAAGGGGAATCGCATCACTGAGAAGGGCACAATGACTTGCCCAGTTCCACTTATATGATCAGCGTGGAATATGCCTTCAACTCGTCGTAGTTTCAAAATCATTTATCCGAGCTAATAGCCTCGAGTCTGGACAAATAAGTGTTGTTCGCTGCTGATGATGGGTGGTGTCAAGTGGAAATGGGTTAAGCGCAAGGTAGCCTTTTTTTCGGCAAGCTACAGGACTGTATCACATTGTTCGTAGCAGTCGTTTTCCACCAGCTCTTACCCGCTCTAACAAATGGTGGAAACTGGACAGGATGAAGATGAGGTGGCTGTGGTTTGGAGCCATAGAAATGGTCACTGAAATTGCGACTTACCAGGTGGGAACAATTCAGTAAGTAAAGGACTTATCAGCGGAGAACCAACCGCATTTGCCCCCTCCCCTGGTGCTACGGCCGCTTCTGTACGTTTTTAGGAGTAGAAGCGCACCCTAATTAAGGATGAATGGCTCTCGTCTCCCATAGCGGAGAGACCAGCAAGGTTACGTTAAAGTAATATTTAGAAAACACCCCCCCGGCCGCTCCACCGCTTTCCACTGTCTCTCATGACGTCCGCCCCCCGGCTTTGTTCACAATTATATCCTACCGTCTTACCACATTCTCAAGGAACATTTTCGTAGAAAAACTTATATTAACCCTACCGTAAATAACTGATGGCGTGTGTGTCATTCACAGAGGAATTACCTCGGAAATGGCAAGGATTAAGAAGTAAGAACGCCATTTCTGAGAGATTACTTATCCTATTGTCTTACTGAATCTCCGAGAGTACTTAGTAAGTGCACCGCAACTAATTTCTTGACTTCAAAGAGCGACGAATGCTTTCAGTGATGACAAACGGTAGATATTATTGAAGTGTGGTAACCAGAATGAGTGCCCTTACATATCTGACAGGCGTTGGAGTTGTCTTGTAAGCATCATGAGCTCGAACGATGAGCGCCAGAAGAGGTAGTGGAGGGCTGGGCTGTTCGTCACCACGATGACTCTTCGTTTTCGGATGCAGCCCGCCTCGCCGGCCGACAACTGAAGCCGTGTCGAACGACTGGAAATAGAAGTGGTGTTAATTCAAAATTATTTTGAAATTAATCAATCAAACAATCGTTGTTACATTATTAAAAGATGGGCTTCTCGTAACAAAAATTACTCACGAACAGGGTACAGTGCGAAACCCATAAGAGGGGGGGGGCCTCGTACTTTGGTCGCTGGGAGGGGAGGGGTCGTAATTCAAGCGGTCACTCAGGAGCCGCAATGCTCGACATTTCAGTTGATAGTGGGAGTGGAGCTATGGAAGTCAAGATGTTTAAAAAAATGAAAATTATTATGAGTGTATTCTTTACAGATTGAACTGCTACGTTTAACAGCCCTCTTTCATGCAAAATCCCCAAAAATGGGTTCGTACTTGGCCGCGGGGGCGCTGGGAGTAGTCGCAAAAAAGTAGCTCGCTAGGCATTCAAACAGTACCTAATGGGTAAGTCCATTGCTAAGTTTGATGGAACGGACGGAAAGCTGCAGAAGACCCGTATGTAAATAGGACTGCAAAATAATAAAAAATTTATTAGCAATATAGCAAGAATTAGGCAAAGAATAAGATAAAAATAAGTCAAGTAAAACTAATTAGAATGACTCGTAAGTACGTAAATGAACTAAATTATACGTCTCAAACATATTGTCTTTCAAAACCTAACAGGCACCTGCTTGCATCGGATGAACGCAGCCTGAAATCACAATTGACACCTTTTTTTCCACCGTCTCTTGCGTAGGAGCACTAATGCAGCGGCGTACCAGACTAATCGATGCAAGAGATACGCCGAGCTCACTCTTTCCTCAGTGAAGAGAATATGTGTTTTTGGGAGGCACACTGAAGTTTTCGAAGGTGTCACAATGGCATAGAAGGAGTTGATTTTTCGGGTGGGTCAGAGGGTAGCTGTGTAGATGATGGGGCCTCCCATAAAGAGATTGCATTTGGCGCGGTGGCGCAGCTTAGTTCTCGTCTTTTTTCTTTCTTCGCAGTGTAAAACTGTTGTCTATGAACGCGTGATCAGCCGTTCGTAAGCAAGCTGTTGTCGCTTACCGACTTCAAAAATTTCGCTCGAGGAACGGTCTTTTTTCGGATACAGTTTGGGGATCATCGTCAGAAAGCACGTCTGATGATGTAGATCCCCTCACAAATGGTCACTCCTCGAAATTATTTTTTAATGAGCAAAGTCTTGAAATAGAAAACAAATGCTCAAGATTATCTCACGATCCGTCAAGGCAGCTTACGAGAAAACGTCAACTGCTCGTCACGGCCTTCCAGGATTGGATACATATGAAGTAAGCTGCTTGAGACGCTGATCTCAATGCTCCTTTCGGGGATTGGGGAACAATAAACAAACGGGGTCGTATTTTTTCCGGGCCTCAATCCCTTCCCCTTCCGTTAAGGACGAATCGATTGTCTGAGTTGTAGGCCATGGTAACCAAAGTTCCCGGAACGAGTATGTAGAAAGCAATAGGTTTGAGCCCTGAATGAGCTCAAAAGTTTTATCCGTGATTCTCTGTGAGGCTTGGTGGGGGTATTTCGTTGGTTCCCATCGATGCCTCGTATAAGTGGATAACCGTAAACTCTTGTCAAATATTGTGTGCACAGAGTTCGTTATCGGCGTGGTGAGCGGCGGATGGTTCTTGACCAGGTCTCACCATGCGATGAACGTTGCAATTATACAGGAACCAGCAAAGGAAACTAGGCGATGAATCAGAAATGGCCTCCCCCCCCGCTCCGCCCAGCTCAGCAGCGCCCCCAAACAACTTTGGGGTCGCGAAACGTGATAAAACCAGTACTTATCAAAACAAATCAAATATTCAGAGATTGAGAGAAAAATCGACAAAATTGTGGAAATATGGCCTCGAGTCATTTTTCAGATATCTTTTCGTCACTGCGAAGTCATCAAGTACATTCCATATGCCGGAAGGGTAGGGCGTGGCTGCGTACTTCATTTGGACGTGACAGCGCTTGTTATTTTGATGGGATTTTTTCGTTTTGGATTAGTTGTAATCATGTACTCGTTCACTGCAAGGCAGGAAAACAATCGTTTCAAATGGAAATAACCCACGAGAGACGCATCCCATTCCATACGTAGCCACGCCCTCTCCAGTTCCGGGATAAGGAGAGCAGAGAGATTCATTTGGGTCATCCAAGTCGTTCACTTGACCGTGTCTTCTCTAGGTTTTCAAGCCTTTCTCTCTTCTACCAATTTTTTCTTATTTTACCTCCTTCAATATTAATCTCTGATTTTTTTTCTAATCTTTTGCACCATTCGACTACAACAAAAAAACCTACTTTCTTTCACCATTCCGACACTGAGGCACTTCTGAAACCGACACGCTTGACATCGGGATCGATACCGTTTCTCGATCGGACAGTTTCGATTGCCGGCACACGCGTATTTGGACGCTTTTTGGACAGTTCTCTGCAAAAATAACTCATTACCTAGGATTTTGTAAAGCTCCTGGCTAAACATTGGGACCACCATCGCCCTTTTTTAAATGTTCTTTCAGTCATTTCGACAAATCTTACAGGAAATTACAAGGTGCTTGACAGGTGAGAACAAGGCTTACAGGATGTTGACAAGTTTGCTGTATTCACATCTCTACAGTTTACAGGATTTGCTATCCTGACAAGAGCTTACGGGTGTGGCCACCCCAAAATTATTAGCGCCAAGTTCCTTAGGTTACTCAGCAATTTTGGAAATGAAGGACAGTCATGACCAGCTGGCTGGTGCTACATAGCAACTACACCGCCCGTTCTCTAACCGTGAATCCGGGCAGGTTATACTGTTGAGGAAAATCGCTAGCCCAGCACACACCTCCCCAAAGCGACTGAAATATGTTTCTCTGTGGATTCCTCTTTCATGCGCTGCTAATAATGGCCTACAAGGAAATATATCACACATGTTTAGGCTGTTCCAGATGGTTTCCTTTGAACATTTGGCCCGCTGAATAGACCTTCTCATTGACTGCTCAATAACAAGAGAAGGGCGTTGGTTGTGTCATTACAGGGTAATTAGGCGCTGTTGGGGCAATTTGCTATTCTCTTACCATTTCTCGCTGATTTACACGACTCACCTCGATGAAACTGTGGAATCCAGTAAACGAACGAGGTGGTGCCATAGCAAGTTTTTTACAGTTAGTAAGGAGGTCGTCGCACAAAGTGATGACTGGAGGAACCCAGCGGAGTGTTCCCACCAAGCCTAACAGCGCTGGGTAATAAGAGGCAAGGCTAGCTGTCAAGTTCGATCTTCTCATTGGCGAACACTAGTCTGGGAAGCAGGGCACATAATTGGTCGGGGATTTTAGTCGAGTCGTACGACGCTCCCCCCGCCTGCCTCCGGGCCTCTCTTCCTCGTAATCGAATGGAGCCGTCGAGGGGGGGGGTCCAACGTCGTGAAGCGGAGAAATCATACGATCAAAATACAGATTTTTCCAAGCCAAATACAGCCACCCTCTCTCCTGACGCCAAATTACGATCTCCGTTTGGGGATTCCCCCAACAACGATGTGCCCTGCCTGGGAAGAAGCTATCATCACCAAGAACGATTTTGGCACTCTTGGGTGTGGTACTTTTTTTCAAGTCAAAATACTTGGCCCTGTTCACTTCAGCAGAGGTGAAGCAGTGAGAATACCACATGCCGTGATCCGAGAGCGCTGTCAGGAACCCACGTTTTTGTGGTGTTTTCTGTGACACTCGACCCTTTCCACATTGAATCAACTTTCTTGAGGCAGTAATGAGAGGCGTTCTTTCATCGATCCGACGGCTGTCCTCTGCTCCAAAAATATAAACCACTTCCTGTTCACGGGACCTGCTTTTTGACCTTTCGTATGTGTTGGCAGCCGTAGTGCTTCATTTCCTCTGGGGCGCTCCTGCTGCCGTTCGCAGCCAGAAACCCCACCCCCCCCCAACCCCCCTAAAAGTTCAGCTTGTCACCAGAAGGCCGGGCGGAGTGTTAATCCTCCATCCAATCAGAAGCCCGTTACGTTTTTGCGGCGTCGCCGACAAGGGGTGTATATGACGCGCGTGGAACGGGCAATTCAGCAATCAAGAAGTTGCTCTGGTTGGCTTGCGAGGAGCATTTTGAAGTTTCCTCAGTTTCTCTCTGCTAGTTCCTGTCAAATTCCTAGCACACCATGGTGAGACCTGTACACTCTTGTCAAGTGTAACTGAAACGGCCTTGCTATTGCATAACTTAACGGGTATTTACAGGATTCCACAAGAATAGTGGCGGTGATCGAACTAACAAAATGTCCCCACCAAGCCGAACTGCTCCGAAAGCGAACCCATTCTATAGCGAATACGACGCCCCGTTCAGCCGAATACCCACACGCCCTTGTATATTGCCCCATGGAAGATGAGCCCTTTTGCCGTAGGTCCCGAAAGAGTTTGAGGTGGTCGTGGCTCGCGCTATAAGCAGTGACCCGCGGACACTGTTCTCGAATTTCCAACGCTGCAATCACTTCCAGCTTTTCAGACCTCTACAAGTACTCATAGGCATACTTAGACCCTACAGTACTCCAGCAGTACCTTGAAGAATCCTTTGCATCCTTCACAAGTCCGAGCGCCGTAGTGAAAACAGACTGCTCGATCGCCACATACTGCGCAAACCTTCTCCGAATCCTCTTCTATCGAGGCTGTCGTAGCCGTGGAAGCCGTTGGGAAGTCAAACGTTTGCGGTAACATGCTAAAGTAGCTAATGATATCGATTATTGTAGAGAATTGAAAAGGACACAACAGTTAGTACTGTACGACAAGTAGGTACGGTCTTGTTCGCTGCGGATCCTGCGGCGTGTCATGGGGGTGGGTTTGGCGCGGCGCCAGGCTGTTTCCACCAACTGTGGTTGCTTGCCAGCTTTTACGATTGGTGGAGAACGGGCTGGCGTCGCGCCAAAAGCAGCCTATGACACGCCCCAGCAGCTGCAGCGAACAAAACTGTATTGACTGGTTTTGGTCGTTTGAACTAGTCTCATCTTTCATTTGTTTATGTATTAGTCGTGACTACAGAACGATTTTAACTAAAATGTTCAGATGAGTGTAAAAACGCACAAATCCCATGCTGTAACTTTGCCCCCTCTGAGTGATGGGCACCTAACCCTGTAACAAGACCACAACAAATGAGGGATTCCCAACAGAGAAAGTGACAAAGATAGTAATAGGAGTGACCTTACCAGTTGCCAAATCGAAACAAGTGATATGCTTGGGCCGGCGATGGCAGCGGCGGTTGCGGGCCATGATGCGGAGACGGCGTGCCAGTATGGCTGCCCGCCGAACTCGAACTGTAAATGAGGATCATACCGTAGGAATCAATCGATTCATTTGTATCATCCTCTTGCTAACTCCTTATATCATTTTATATTTCACTGATTATCCATTTCTATTTTCATCGTGTTTACGCATCATCCGCCACAACCGACCACCATCATCACCACGTCCACGGTTGGCGTGACAATCTGAACCGCCCTTCTGCATCAACCGTCCTACCCACCTATGAGGACGTCTGTGAGATCAGATCCCTTCAAGGCTTTATAACCCACCTTGTTGTTCCATGACTTCCACGACGGGAGTCCGTAGCAGCTTGGCTGAAATGCGGTTGTTGGCCGTAGAACAGCGCCGCTTG